CATATATTATACGGGCCAGCTACACTTGCATAAATGTGCGCCATCCCCCCCCCCCCCCCCCCCCCCCGCACGCGTTAGCGCTATTCAAACTCTGCAAGCAAGCGACGCGCTGTACACGCAACAAACGAAATAGCAAGCAGCGTATAGGTCGCCACGGACATACCTGTCGGGAACAGAAAAGTCACCTCAAACGAACGATAGTGCGTGAGTTGTATCGCTAAGGCCAGGCAGCACTGTGGTAGCCGCTATAGTAACGGTGAAAGGTTCGCTTATGGCGCTGCACGGTCTCGACTTTTGATGTCATACTTGTCGTTTCTCAAGAAAAACGATACTAAATTCCGAAGGCTCAGTTAAGTTTCAGCTTCCATAACGCTGCACGGAACTGTAGAGAAACAGAAAGACGCTTGTAACTTGTGCAAACAGAAAAGTAACGCAAACATTCGCGTTTTCCCGTTCAGGGATGCTGGCTAATGACACTGGCGAATGCTGCAGCACCGCTAGCGTTAATAGACGTTGCCAAGCCGGGCGCCGCACATTGCCGGCTTCCGAAAACAGCAACGACAGCGGTAGAGGCCGAGCGGCAACAAGCGCGACAGTGCGAGAGCGCCCGCTTGTGGCTCCACTAATCCCACAACTCTTCCCGAAGCGACCCTCTCCCTCGGAGAACCCTCGTACGAACCCTTTGCGTCCCGCGCGTTTTAACCCACAGCAAGCACGGCAGGCAACGCGAGCTTAGCGCGCGATCTCTTCGAAGCTCGTGTGGAGGCTTAGCGCTGTCGTTTTTTGCGCCATGCACCGCTAGGAGAACAGATGCGCCCGCGTAATAAGCAACCAGCGGGCTTCGCCCTCCCCTTAAAGTTAACCAAGCAATAAAGAAATAGGGAAAAAGCTGTGGAATGTAGCGAAGCTGGCGAGGTCACTAAGGACTGTCTGGTCTCTCCATAACTTCGAGCGCATACGTCGTGCCGCTCAGAGCAGCCTGTGCGGTGAGGCCAGACCACTGGTCATTCCCAGCTTCGAGCCTGCAGCCCAAGTTCAGCGCCCTTCTTCGCCCACCATCCAGATTTTGAGGCTACGTTTACGTCAACGCATAGCCGGGGAGGGGGGCAGATTAAACAACCCCCACTCCCGATATTTCCGATATTTTAGTTTCGCTTCAGACCGTTCTTCCAGCAACTGCGTCGGCGCCTGTTTCAACCAGGTCAACGCCGTTAGCACCGCTGCTGCTTGCCATCCCATCAGGCTTCTCTTCGGGGAGATGGTCCAGTTTTTTTTTTATAATTCGCATTTATTTTTATTTGCGCAAGCACGCAAAAAACCAACGCACGTACACAAAACCAACTGCAACCCCCAACCCCTCACGCCCCCCCCCCCCCAAAAAAAAAAATAAAACTAGTGGCTAAGCTCAGCTATGCCAGATATACGTAGCGTGACCTACGGACGAACTGCGGACGGACGAACCACGCTTCAACGGAGCAATGACTCCTCTATTTCGTTCGACGCCTGTGCAAACTGCTCCGCTGCAGTGGTCTCGTGGCCAAGGTTTTCGGCTACTGACCCGCAGGTCAAGGGATCAAATCCCGGCTGCGGCGGCTGCATTTCCGATGTAGGCGAAAATGCAGTAGGCCCGCGTGCTAAGATTTGGGGGCACTTTAAAGAACCCCAGGTGGTCGAAATTTCCGGAGTCCTCCACAACGACGTCTCTCAAATAAAATGGTGGCTTTGGGACGATAAATCCCACATATCAATCAATCAATCAGGCTAGTGCAAACGCGCGCTTCTCAACGAGAGCCGCTCAGGCAGTGGTCGTGATGCGGCGCTATATGAGGGGTCGCGCTGGTCACATCACACGTGCTTACGAGCGCTTTCCCCGGGAGATGCGACAGACTTGTTTGCAACTCCAATATCATACGCCTGTCAAATTTGTTCCTTCGGGCTGCTTCCAGGGTCTACTCAAATAGGTCGCGAAGGCTCGGGCGAAAATCGATTCAGAAGCTATTGACGGTGACATCAGCATCGGGAGATGCGATTGAAGCATGACTATGTTTGGAGGGAACAAACACGATTATAGAAAAAAAAAAGTTTAATTAAAAGTCTAAGCAATCAATAGGATTTACAAAATCAGATTTTTTTTCCCCAACAATATTAAGTAGGTGTAGTGAATAAAGAATATATGACAGCTTTTATTATTACGAAAAATATTTTTTCTAGCGCCCTCTGCCCACGCTATTATTACTCAGTGCAACACTTGCACTACATGGGTACACATGGCAAGGCCCGCTCGTAAAATTCGTCTGCGAGGACACACCACTTCACGTGTCTTAGTGTTCTGCGCTTGCTTGCGTTCTCTGTTGTGCGCGAAATTGTTAGGTGCGTTTTATCTTTGGTGAAGGTCTTCAGTGCAGTGTCCAACGGGCAGCGGAACGATGCGTGTTACATTTAACGCCGAGTATTTCGCCGGTGGCTGCGAAAACGATGTGCTGTGCAAGGATGCAGTAGCAACAAAGGTATGCCTGGTGACACATGCCTTCTAGATAAAAAGCAAGGACAATGGCTCGGAATGCACTGCTAGCTAGGATAGGAAACAAGGACAATGGCTCGGAACGCACTGATAGCTGGACTTTGATTCTTGAGTATTCCTACATCCCGTTTTCTTTTTGAGCATGCAGTGCCTCCTATTCGCGTTATTGCCGAGCAGATTGCCAAGTTACCTATCACGGTACAATTCGCATGTCTTCATTCGCATATACGTAGCGGTAATTTACTGAAACATAATGCAAAAAAAAAAAACATATCACAAGGAGAGCGTGCAGATTTTTTGTTCCTATAACCATTTTGTGCAGTGTAATGAACTTTAATTACTGTGATCACTGAGTAAAACTAAAATGTCATCAATTTGGCGTGACTATAGGCATTTCTTCCAGTTAAAGCAAAAGATCACAAGCATTGTGCATGGTAAAGAAACTTGCGTATGTGTGAAGCAAATAAGCCACGCGCATACGCTGCTACGCTGTTGGTTGCCTTAATTCATCGGCGAAAGATGTCACGAACGGCGAATAAAAGTTCGAAGAATAGGTTTCCTTGCAAACTGAGGGAAACTGAAGTGAACGGTAGTACATTTAAACATCCCTATTTAGCCATGAATCCGTATTAGATTAGCTGGCCTTTACTTCAAGCGCACTCGTGGATGACTCGCCGGTGATTGCCTTATAGCGAGCCCTTAACGATCAGGGGCCCCTGAAAAGTAATTTAAGATAAATTTCGCATTAGTGCACACAAAATGACGTCACTTTTTTAGCAGCTATTGCGTCACATCCACTTTTTTTTTTTGTTCTACCGGAAGTGTTCCCTCCTCACAGAGATGGCGCTAAGCCTCATGAGCAGCTCAGGATGATGGCGCAGAGTTTTTCAAAGCACTGGGGTTTAGGGACCGGGAGGGCAAAATAGACTTTAAGCAAGTAGACTTAACTAGAAGGAGGTTATCGGATTGGTGGCTAAAGTCAAGGCACGAGTGAAAATTAAACTCTTCACTGCAAAGTACGAATCCTCAAACTCACTTTTAAGGAAAAAAATAAATAAATATAGTTTTGGGTTCATTAAGTATTACGGCTTGGTGGCGCTAGCCACCGCCCGATCTAAAGGGTACAGCCATATCCATCCATCCATCCAGCTGATCAGCCGCCATTTTGTGAACGTATTGGTTTCTATGGAGCCTTCGCTACTTGTCTATATATACCTTGCTCCTTCTTTGTGGCTCGAAGCAATGCCGTTGCTGCATCACAGCGCTCTCAAAATCGGCGCATGCAGTTGCGTTGCAGTAACGCTTCCCTATTGGTTGCCCGCATAGCACCACCAACGACGACACGCTATCTACACAAGCCCTTACATGGTTCACACGAGCCCCGAAATTCACCGCACTGCAAAGATTTGTAGCGATCACGTCGGAATTCTTCCACCGTGGTGGTGTCGCAGCCGAAGGTGCAGACGAGATAAGGCTGTTTCAGCGGCGAATGAAAGCATGGTTAGTGCGGACGGCCGGTCAGAAAATGAGAGAAAGCACCAAAGGGTTTAGGAAGTGTGAGGCGTGGAACAAAAAAAAAAAAAAACCTTGCACCGCAGGAAGATAACGCAACCTCGGGAACGTCAGGCGCAGCCGCGGCCCTTCAAGCTAAGAGAAAACAAGGGTCTTGGCAGCCGCTGTACTCCCCATAAACGACCTGCGCGCTCAAACTTTTCTTAGCGAGCTGCGCTGCCATCGCACGCCACGCATTAACCAAGCAGTACGAAAGTGCTGCAACAAGGGGGTCAATGGAGCCGCGCTGCAACTGAAACACGGTGCAAGCTGCTGGCGCCAAGTAATCTTCCCTCTCCATCGTACAGATGCTGCTGAGCGCGTCACCGAAGTGAACACAAAATCAACTGAAAAAGAACGGGCAGCGAGACGGCATTTCCCGCTTTTGTTCGCACTGTCAAAACTGCTTCCGTTACTTCCAGCTTTGAAGTAGCTCACAGGTAGTTTAGGTCACATTTATTCTTTACTTGTGACTTTTCGCAGTCTACACGGCCGACGTTAATTGACGAGTGGTGGATTAGTTACGACAGTCTTGCCCGAGAGCTCGCCCTTGTTCTCGCATTATTAACTATGCTGCGCATGTGAACAACATGGGCGCAACTGAAGCAGAGCATGCAAAGCCACCTTTCCTCAGAGGTCTTGCCGCGCCTAACTGCGTGAGTTCCGTCGTACTCCATCGTTCAGGATACTAGGTTTACAAGCTTATAAAATGACACGAAGTGCTTGCGGCGACGCAGCACATCACAGAAGTAGCGGTCAAGTTTAGAGTGTTCCTGTTTTTCTAATGACTCGCCGGCACACTCTGCCTATGACTCTGCGCGCTCTTATTTTACCTTTTTCCACACTCAAGACGCGGCGTTTCAAAGAACGCGGGGACGACATTCAAGTGCCTCGTTTCGCGAGAAGAATCGGGCGGAGGTGCACGAACCTTTGAGCTTGGACAGCTTGGACGTCCTCGGGGACTTCGCTTCCTGGCCGCCGCTGCTCTTGCCCGGCTTCTTGCGCGGCTGCTGGCTCTTGTCCTTCACCTTAGTGCTCAGCAGCGGGTGCGTCTCTGAAACCAGCATAGCAAAGTCATACATGCCCTGCGAGATCCTTGGAAGAACGACGGCACCTCTCGAGGAGGGTACTCTGACGAGTCCAGACATCTGCACTGCTTACGACGCCTCCTAGCACACCCGAAGCCGACGCTGCCCGAAGGCTTAGCACTCACGGAAGATATTCCGTTTGCAGCGACCCTAAAACCTTCAAGATTTCTCGCGCTTTTTTTTTTTTTTCGCGAGCGTGCGAAGCGAAAAAGCGCCAACGCTTGTTTTTTTTTTTTATCTTATTAAGTGCTTTGCATCATGATGTGATAGGTAAACACTCCAGCCGCTGGCTTGCATTGTGACTTTTGTACGTTGGTCATGTCAGTATAGTTGTCACTGTGGCGTAAACAGCAATAAGGTCGACAATTAAAAAAGTTACCTGTGTCTGTGCATTTGAAATTCCCCTCCTCACTTTCTTTTTTTCCCCCGTCAACCATTTCATTCAAGAAAGAAATCCCGGCCATTAGCTGCCGAAGCCGACCGAAGCCGACATGAATTCACGAATCCACGCCGCCGACTTTTTAAACTAGCCACAGATCATTTTTCCTTTTTTGACAGTTTTAGCAGGTAAAATTATTCAATCTCCTAATGGATACGAGCATTTATTCAGCAACCGGAGTTGTGGCGAATTTCGCACAAATCGAGGGCGCACCTCTCCTGGTTCCGCGCGTTGCTGCACTGCGAACACGTACGGGACCGCGCAATATTTCACAACTACCGCATCCGATACATGGGCGCGTTTGTTCCACTACACAGTGTTACATAACCTTATAGTGGCATCAGCGCCTAAAGAAAAACTTTATCCTATCCGTCACCGAAATGGTTACAAATTTCCTTCCCGCCTTCGACTGCAGCGGCAAGTGTAAGGCGAAGACGTTTACTCTACTACACACGAGAGTTCATCAAACTCTTTCATGCTGGCAAATCGAATAACTGAACACGAGGCTAAAGCAATTCTCTTGTATTCAGCCGGAGCGCTGCTCGCGCCGCAGACATCCATTGTGGCCACCGCAGGCGCCACCTGCGCAACGATGCGTCTGATGCGTGCGTTTTTGTTTTGGTCTATGTCTTTTGCTAGACACTGAGGTACTTTTTTTAGCGCTCTGCAATGCAGATTAAGTTTGGCCTTTTTTTCTTTCCTTTCCTTTGAACATTTGAGGACAGCTTCTAGTTCTCCCTCCCTCCCCCGCATTTCTCTCATTCTAGGAATATTTTGATGGCGCCACGTACGAGCGCATAACTCACGTGTTAGTGGATCTAAAGTAGTTATATTACTTTTAGCCACCCTCCGCCTATTTTTTGAACACGACAGCTATAGTAATTGTAAGTCCGCTAGTAACATATATATTTATTTAAACTATTCATTACCTTGTACTAATTCAAGGGTTCTGAACTACAGGCACCACTACTCCAGATACGGGAGGATGAGTGTCGGGTTTAGGCTGACGCCTCTACCCCGTCATCCATTTGACAGGTGCCAATAAAGTTACTTCCCTCCCTCCCTTATGCAGTCATTTGTTGCGTCCCTGAGCGCGAATACACTTGCTTGGTCTGGCTCGAAAAGGTTGCGGGATCGAATTCCGGCCACGGCGACCGTATTTAAACGCGGGCAGAATGCTAAAGACCCGTCTACTTAGAATTAGGTGAACGCTAGAGATTCGAACACCAGGTGGTCATAATATTCTCCCCTAGGGCTTCCCTCACGATCGCACGCGAATTCGGGACACAGTACGCCAACGATTATTAAAGACGATGGTCTTTCTTGGGGAACTCCGACGGAAAAATCTTGGTCTGTCCAGTCTTTCTGTACATTTCTCTGTTTGCCCGCCATAATGATGCCCCAACGGGCAACCCCATCCGCAGCACCCACCAATATTGCTCAAGTTTAAGCGTTCATACTTGTGCGATTGTCAATTAAAAAGCAATGATTGCGCACATCTGAAGCATCACAATTTGTCAACATTCTCTCTGTGTGTCTTTACACTAGAGAAGGCATACATAAATAATTCTAAGGATCGTAACGTCTATCACGCTGCGCTGACAATGCGACGCTATGCTCAAAAAGGCAAGTGTTTCTAATTGCTTTGCTAAGACGTTACGGTGCTGGCACCTGCCTGTCGCTTTCCAATCTACACCTCATCGCCTCTGAGACAGGCGTGCACACCTTCCTTTGCTTTCGAAGATAACTGCCAGATAGCCCTTGTGTCTAACGTGACTCGATGCGCTCGTTCGCCTTCGCTGCACAGATAGAGATACTCAAACGAAGTACCTCCAGAATACAATTCACCGGTTTTCTCGCGTAGAACGTCAAATAAACGTTTTTTTTTTTCACTCTCCCCAGACGCAAGACTGTCGTCTTTCGATGACATTTGCAGTGAAAAATGCAGATACGGAGCCTTTTTTTATTATTTCGCTTTGGCTCGGAACAGCCAGGGCCCAGTATTCGTGCATGAGAGGGCAATGTTGAACAGCCGCTATCTCCTTACATATTACTGTTGTCGGCCCAGGTTTTTTTACCCCACCTAGAATTCCTTACAGTACCATAGGCTATACAACTACAACTATTACCGCAAAATACCCTTTATCGATATTTCATATTGCACACAATACTTTATGATTTCTATCAGGTATGCAGTTTCCCAAATGCGAGGGCACAGGGAGCAACGAAAATAGCAGATATTTATATCAATGAAAATCAGTGTAGTTTTTATAAAAGGTATTCAAAATACTGCAATCACTTATTCAAAATGCAACAATCATCTCTTATGCAGAATAACTTGTAACTTTTTTTAATTAAGAACATTTAAAAGGCATTCCCTCTTTTTTCCTAAAGTAAGGGTAGTCTTTGTCTTCCTAACAAGGTTGATGCAAATAAACATTTTCAACCTAAGCTTTTTTTTTTTTTGTGGGTGTGAACACTGGGAAATTTTATGTGTAACTGTGAGAATATGGTTCAGAGTTAACGATGCCACAATGAGTCAGCAGCTACTTTAATAGTTTCACTAGCAAGTAGCAGTGTGCTGAGCTTGCACCAAACAGGTGTGAAATCTTAAAGTGAACCCACTGAGCTACGACAAGGTTTTGTACAGGACAACCAGGTCTGCGTCTAACCCACTTTTCTCGTGCTTCCTTGAAAACGAGGCTCCTCCACCTTTTCGTGCAAGGCGACAAAGGAAACAACAAATGTGGATGTAAAACAGGAACATTTCTGAAAAGTACATGCAACTTATCCATATACCTGAACTTTCTCTTGAAACATAGCATCTGGTGACATAACATTCACTTAGTATAATTAGGCTACAAAAATTAACATAATATTCTTGAGTGTAATTTTTCAGAGTATGTTTAATGAATGGTCTGCACTGTTACCTACTACTGTTACGTGGCATTCCCAGTGCCCTGCAGCCAAACTTTTGCAAGCCAAGGACTCACAGCTGGGTTCCTGTCATGTTCTTTTACACAGGCACTCTTATCCATTGTTATATCCTTAAAGCAGAAAACTGATTTCTGTGTCGTGTCTTCAGAAACTTGCGTACTAGATCATAGAAATGATGAGATTGGCATGGTTCACTAGGAAATTCCCTTGGAGTGACAAATGCTTGTTTGGCTGCACTAATGCACAGGAGTTTATTAACCTCTTCTAGCCTTGGGGAAACCCACTTGCTTTTCTATGACAGAGAACTTGGCCTTGCTAGATTACTGCAGAAAATGGATGAAATAGGTGCTGCTCAATGATATTGCACAATGCCGATAACAAGTGGTTTTGCTTGTGAAGATAACAGAAATAAATGCTGAAGCATGCTTTACAAATATACAAGAAAAATTATAACAACACTTTATGAAAAGTAAAAAGCCAAGCTTAAAACTGCAGCTATAAAAAGAAAATAAATTTTTCATCGAAGTAATTGCCTAGCTCTAAGGAAGTAGGTGACAGTTATAACTGTCAGCCCTAAAGCACAGCTTAGTAGTGAACTGTGGCTAGTATTTTCAGGGTTTGAGCTGTCCATTGCAAAATAAGACTTCCAAGTCCTGATACAGAGTTCACAAATTGTTGATCTGAAATAGCTGAAGTAGTCAATAAAGGCTGCACAACATGCTGTGCATGATGTCTCTGCATTATTCATTATATCACTGTCCCATTAAATGTGCATCATCCCCAGATTCGCAAAAAAAAAAAAAAAACACAGGAAACAAAGCTGTCCACGCCATCGGCGCATTCGAGAGATTTGCTTCACTTTGAGATAAAGTGGGTCCATTGCGCGCTAAAAGTCGCTGTTGTCGGGATCAAAGGTGTATGTACGGACACTTTCTGTGACACATGAAATAGACATTGTAGTTTCTCTACCCCCAATAGGAGCGTCCTTCAGCTCTATGTCATAGGTCTTGGGCTTCTTCTTCTTCGGTGACTCTGCCTGGGCACTGGGGCGCTTCGTGCCAACCTCTTCACTGGCCTAGAAAGGGAGTTTTGCATGAACACAACTGAGAAATAAGCAATCATTTGCTAGATGCAACTAAGGGTTGCAAAGCATAAGCTTACTGTAAAATACTTTTAATAAGTGGCCGTGCACGTTCTGAAAGCTATAGACTTGAAGGGGATGGCCAGTCAATTTTCTACTAGCACTAGATACAAGAATGACAAATATAAAATATAATGCTATAAGCAAAACAGCCACACTGCATTAATAAATGTCTTACAAGAAATGAAATTAAGCATCTTTATCACGTCTGTGTCAGTGAGCTATAACAAGGATTAAATAAACAGTGACCATTACATGCAATCGGAAGTGGCTAATCCTTTCACACAACAGCTTTTAAGCAACTATTTGGATGGATGGATGGATGGATGAAAAACTTTTATTGGGGTCCTGAAGGATTCCACCCCCGTTTTATAGGGGTAGAATCGCAGGCCGCTCCCACGTTGGGACGGGGAGGCCCAGCCTCACCGCCGCATCGTGGGCCTTCTGGACAGCCTTGAGTTGTTGTATGAGAACCGGACTCGTGAGCATTAAATGAAAGCAGTTCTCAGAAAATTCTTCATTTTTCTTTGTAAAGAGGGGCACCTCCAGAGCATGTGGTTAAAATCACTGCGATTCTGGCAGTCTGGACAAAGTTCTGAAATATCGGAGTAATGGCTATAGGTTACGAGGCTAGGGTATGTTCCCGTCTGAAGCATGCGAAGAGAGATTGCCTGTGGCCTAGACAACTTTTCGTGTGGCAATGGAAATGACCTACGGCCTAATTGATAATGCTTCGTGATCTCGTTGAAGGTAGTCAAAATGTCCCTAAAATGAAGGCTGCTGGCTGACTCCTCTGTCTGAGAAGCACAAGTATTTGGAAGACAAGAAAATTTGTAACAAGTTTTATGAACTGAAGTTATTTGCTTAAGCAGGAAAACTTAATGACTGCTCATAAGAGTACGTAGCAAACACAAAACCATATTCAGTAATACTACTAGACACATAATTTTACTTCTGGGTAAGGGTAGCTGGGTCCCTCAGTCCAGAGCCCCATTGGCCTGTGTGGCTCGCGGTGGTACTTGACTGAGCAGAGTAACTTGACTCACTCGATCTCTGCTCAGACCTCACAGTACCCTAAAATGTTTTTTTTTCTAGTGAAGATGAGTTGATTTCAGGAGCCTACACAGCCACATTACATGGTTGAGAGATCACCACTTGCAACATCGCAGACATGTGTCCAACAAACCGACAGCCCTCCTACCTCCCCCCCCCCCACTATCTCTCCTCTCCCACTTGAAAAATTTCCTGTTTACTGGCCTGCTGTCCTGGTACTACGTTGGGTGGATTTCATTACATATTAATAGATTGGGATAATTACAGCCAATGCCACTTCCTAGCCTGCCCTATAACAAGTTAGGAGAGTGCCGGGCTAAATCTTTGCCTTTATGTTCTTTGTCTCTCAAGGATGTCGTCAGGGGTTACTGCAGATTCTTTGAGTCGGTGCACCTTCAAGCTATATTATCTGCCCTATCATTACTCTCTAGCCCCACAGAAGCTGGCAAACAAACATGGTGCCAATGGCACAGATCAAATACTATATTCACAACCGTGAAATTGGACAAAGGCAGAGATGAAGATCATGGCTGCTTTCGTACGGCACAGGACACTCACTAATGTTGACACATATGGTACTTGTTGGAACACAATATGTAATGTAGAAGCTCAGCAAAGAAAAAGAAGACAACCATCTATGTTGTAGCACAAAGTCACAAGGAAATCCGTATGGGTTTCTCAACTCAGAAACAAAATTATTTTTTCAATCTTTCTCAGAAAGATTTCTCCTAGTAGATTCTTGCTACAACATGGGTGGTTGTCTTCTTTCGCTTTCTTAACCTTTCCGCCACTTTAAAGGTTTCTGCCAAACTCATTTGCAATGTAGAAGCTTGAGTGAGTTGTCAACATGAGCGCAAACGGAATGAGGACAGAAGAAAGGACGCAACACAGGTGCTGTGTTACTCCCTTTCTTCTGTCTTCCCCAACACTTTGACAGTATCAAGGGCTGCTTGTCTCTCGGCAGAATTCGTAAAAACGTGAGAACTTAGAAAAATCTTTAATTAAGCACAGAGGTCCATTGTCTGTCCACATGAAGTCAGAATTTCCCGAGTGAGCAAAGCCCTGCTTTACCGCAGCAACAATCCCTAGTGTTGACGCCCCAATGATGTCCCACTGTGACAGAGTGCTGAATTATGTACTGACCCGAAGATTGCAGGTTTGAATCTCAGCCGCAGTGGCTGTATTTCAATTAATACGAAAAGCTGGAGGCCCACATACTTAAATTTAGGCAGACATTTTAAAGATCGCAGGTGGACGAAATTCGTGGAGCCCTCCACTACAAAGTCCTTCATAATCATTTCACGCTTTTGGGATGTAAAATCTAAAAATTATTATTATTATGATGTAGAGCAAGTCCTCAGTGTGGCTACTAAAAGAACGTGGCGTAGTGATTAACAATGAAAATATACAGTAACATTCCTTAAGATGGAGCAGGTAGAGAACACGACTCGAGTTCTGGCACACTTTGCACATCGAGCCACGAGGTGTTCAATGCGTATGTTTTAATTTGACCATCAAAGACACCCTTGAGCATGCTCTTGACAATAGCAGACCCTTTGATGACCTTTGTGCAGCAGAAAGGTTATCAACGAACATGGCACTCATCTTCGTTGGTCTCATCTCGTGCCTTCCCTCTGCACTGTAATCCCTCTCGAAATGGAATACCAACTCGATCTGTGTGGCGCCGCCGAAGTTTCGAGAGGAACCACGCCGCCGCACAAATTTTTCGGTGCTCCGCCGTTTGTCTTATTTTTACCTGAATGCAAAATCTGGATGTAAAATACATCACTTCACCTGTTTTTCTGCAGCTTTAGGAGTTCTGAGAGTGGCATTTGCGGTGTCATGGCTGCTCTCCTGTTTCAGTGTTTGCATGCACTGTCTATGTAGGGCCCTAAAACAGCTTCTGAAGATACACAGTCAAGCATGTTATTCTGCCTTGGCATTTTTCGTTTCTTTAGCACTCTTTGTGAAGCCAGAACAGCGATTCACGTGACAAGATTAGGGCACATACTCCAGAATGGTCAATATACGAGAAATATGGGCTGTAAATTGTTCTCTAGCCTGCTTGGCCATGCATTCGCTACGTGCCAAGCCCGTTCTTTCTCGTGTCTCGCAGGATTATAATGCGCGATGAACTTGTGATTTCGCTGCATTTTGTGAGTTTTCGATTGCATAAGTTAAGTGTAGCCAACAAGTTGGAAATCCTGTTAGGCTAAACGCTTAGCGCTCACATTGCACAAATGCTTTATGAAGACATAAATGTCGAAGAGCATGTAAGAATTACAGTAAAGAGTGTAGTGCAGTGTAATTGAGAATGAAACCAAAGAAAAAGGCTTCTAATTATTTCCTTCTCCCCACAAGTGAATTCTATACAGCGAAGACAACCCAGCTCTTCGTAACAAGGAACAGCCTGCTTCGACGGTTTTTGTGTGACTGTGTTTTTTTTACTCCGAGAAGAACTATATGGACACTGTCTAGAGGCTTTCATTACCCCCGTCATGTTCCGTAAAGTCCATTTAAATTACTTTTGTACGCACGCTATATGCTGTTCACGCAGATAAAATCTCACGAGTGCTATAGCGAAGAACACTGCTGAAGCATAGATGAAACGAGCCGCCCACCTCCATCGTACAGAGGGCACATGCCATAACATCCTTCCACATGCGATGCCTACCGTCCATTGCTTTTCAAACGGAAAGAAAGCTCTGTCTGCCTTTTGCTGGACGAAGGAGTATGAAGATATACTCAAGTAAGAGGCTACATGGCACGATCCGCATCTATGAAGTTTGAATATAAAGGTGCGGTCACGAGTGCTAGCACATGCTAGCCTGTTCGCTACTTCAGCAGGCATCAGCGAAAGGCTCATTTACCCTTCTACATGCTATGATATCATTGTATGAACCCTGCTTATTTTCCCGGAAGCAGTTGTATTCCCATGCACTAGCATTTTACAGTTTCTCGAGATAAAATAAGGAATAGTTAGCTGCAGCCTAAATTCATTATGGGACTGCGAACTTATATTGCACGGTGTAAAATGTGAAGTCGTCGAAAGATCTTATGACCATATTACTGTTTATGTCGCCTCAAAATCAGCATGTTCTCCTTAAAGACTTGAGATAAAACTGTTTTGAACTTTCTTAAGCTGATGACACTTTTGTACTGGACACTTTAACCTCATCTTTTGAGAAATTTGGATATTCTAGCAAACTTCGCAATGCAGATTCGCTCCTTCCTAAGTTTTGTGACTATGTGCGACACATATTTTAAATGGAACGCAAGTACACCGATGCTACCAGAAATATATAATCCATCTCACTCGTCATATAAAACGCTTACGTAAGAATCGTCATTCCAAGTGTAATAATAATGCTTTCTGAGTTAATGTATTGAAAAATAAATAAAAGCTAAAATGAAAAGGCTAAGGACTACTTCTTTACCAAAGCCTTTGCAACACTTATGAAAAAAAAAATCCATTCAGGTTCTAGGCATTAGTCCTGCATTGTCTATGCCCTAATTGTTTATTCTTGATGGCCAATCCTCCTCAAATTCGGAAGGTATAGCAAATGCCTTTAATACTTACATAAAATCTGTTTCTTTTCCTACCAATAACAGCATCACTCCTTCATTTTCTGCGTGCAGCAAACTACATGCTTTTCCTAATCTTGAATCGAGCTCCTCTGAAGTGCATAACCTAATACTAGTATTTGTGAAGTTAGGATACACCGTGGCCCAGACGGTATGCCAAATATATTTCTAAAGTGGCACTCAGTATGGTGTGCTAATTACCTTACTGTAATATTTAAAAACGTAAATGTCTGCAGCAGTTTTCCAACTGTGGAAATTAGCAAATGTCAAGCCTTTATGTCCGGAAACAAGCAAAT